CTCGTAGACCATCCAAAGCATATCCTGCAGTTACTCAACCGTAATCTGAGCAGACGCGTCGGGCGCTCATGTGGATAAAATCAATGGAATATTTACGCAAATACCTGCCTTCGGCTCCATCGACCTCAGCTTGTTTGCTCTCTTCTGACACTCTCTCTTACTTCACTCTCTCCTTCCTTTGCTTTTTCACTCTCTCTCTTACTTAACTCACTCATTCGTTTGCTGTCTCACTCTCAATTACTTCGCTCTCTCCTTCCTTTGCTCTCACACTCTCTCCTTCGTTTGCTTGCTCGCTCTCTCTCTCTTACTTCACTCTCTCCCTCCTTTGCTTTCTTACTCTCTCTCTTACTTCACTCTCTCCTTCGTTAGCTTGCTCACTCTCTCTCTCTCTTACTTCACTCTTTCCTTCGTTTAATCTCTCACTCTCTTACTTCGCTCTTTCCTTCGTTTGCTCTCTCACTCTCTCTTACTTCACTCTCCCCTTCGTTTGCTCTCTCACTCTCTCTTACTTCACTCTCTCCTTCGTTTGCTCTCTAGGCAACCTGCGCCTCTGATCAGACGACGACTACGATATCTGCAGGGGCAGCGCGATATACCGCGTCCAGAAGAGCGGGCAGAGAGAAGCGAGTTAGGTAGGGAAGTGAGGGAAGTCAGTTAAATGAAGGAAGTGAGAGAAATGAGGGTAGTGATGGAAGTAAGGGAAGTGAGAGAAATGAGGGTAGTGATGGAAGTAAGGGAAGTGAGAGAAATGAGGGTAGTGATGGAAGTAAGGGAAGTGAGGGCAGTGAGGGAAATGAGGGTACTGACGGAAGTGAGGGAAATGAGGGTACTGACGGAAGTGAGGGAAATGAGGGTAGTGTGGGAAGTTATGGCAATGAGGGTAGTGAGGGAAGTATAGGGAAGTTAGGGGAATGAGGGTAGGGAGGGAAGTGAGGGAAGTGAGGGAAATCAGGGAAGTGAGGGTAGTGAGGGGAATGAGGAGACTAAAGGGAGTGAGGGAAGTGAGGGGTTACAAGGCACATCCCTGCTAGGGTCGATGCCGAAAGTCGATATGGCGGCGAGAGCAGCAGCAGCAGCCGAGAGAACAACAACAATTTTGAAAAAAAACAGCAGCGAAAACAACAAGAATAACAGCAACAGTTTTCTCAGTTAGAGGCTTGCGCTAGCAGCTTTAGTTATCATTTATGCATGTGCTTGTATTTTCAATAAAAACTCTGAGGCTATACTGAGACAATTTCTGATCTAAAATAAAAATCCTGCTAAAAGTTCACTGCGTCCGATTAATTTCTTCATTATGTGCTCAAATTGAAATTAAATAGAGTTTCTTTTCTGATGGAGGCTGAGAAATCGATTCCTGTCCCAATAAACTTGTTTTGGACAACAAATCCTTTTTGAAAAAAATCGCAATCAACAGCGGGCTTCCCGCTAGACAAAATAATTATCTGCAAGGTTGCGTCGTAAGGACGGAGGATAAGGACTTGAATAATTATCCACAGAATATCATTATTTCAAACAGTTTAATTAGCACCCATTAGAACTTCAATCTGAAAATTTTTCACGATTCAACTTCTAAATAATGGCCTTGCAGTTACATTATATTATTCATATCCAAGATTTTTTTTAATGTGATTAGCCTACAGTTAACCGGACAGAGAAGGTTATCGCTTGGACACATATATTCCAGTTTACAATGACTGGTCAGGGTGGAGCTACAGGTTCACTGTATATATAGTACATGTGTAGATTATTCATGTATATACATATACATTATACGGCACTAAATCAATTGTTAATTCACCCCATGACTCCACAAGAATATGTATATATGCAATTAAATATATTTATAATTCTTTATATTCAATTTCATTAAAAGTAGGTAACATAATTGATAAAGTATTGAAAAAGGTAACACAAATGTATATGGGTGCCGGAATGTAGTTATCTGAACGTGCAAATTTTTTTGCCTATATGAGCAAATCTAGTTGCCTATATGAGCGAATGTAGTTGCCTAGATGAGTGAATGTAGTTGCCTAGATGAGCGAATGTAGTTGCCTAGATGTGCGAATGTAGTTGCCTATGTGAGCGAATGTAGTTGCCTAGATGAGCGAATGTAGTTGCCTAGATGAGAGAATGGAGTTGCCTATGTGAGCGAATGTAGTTGCCTATATGAGCGAATGTTGCCTATGCAATTTGTAGGCTCAAAAATTGAATTTCAACCCGATCTAGGCCGTTAAAATTGAGCGTAGACTATACACGGTAAAGTTTTCATCGTTAATTCAATAATAGTTTACGACACTTTTCAATGGACGATCTATTTAATGAGTAAAATTTTATTATTCGGAAATTACTGTTAATAAACAAATGTCATTACACACGTTCTTTTGCCCTCTCACCGCTTATCGGTCTCTATCATCCTTAACATCTATTATGTACGGGAACTCTGATATTAATATTAGTAGAGTACAAATATATTAACGGAATTAGAGTCATTGGATGATTATTATCATTACATTTATTGTTTCAACAACATCTAGTGCACTACCAATTCTAGTGCATCATCCTATACATCAACTTCAGGTCAACAAACGAACAAGAAAAATACGTTGCAATTTATAAAATGGATAGATTTTCATTTTATTTTAGGTGACAGGAAGATTTTATTTCGTATCCTCAACAAGGTTGAGGTTCAACATAAAATTTATTTAATGTCGGTTGTTGAAAAAAGACATTTAGCCTTCTCTCTTTCCTAAGCGAGACAACACAGATTCTCATTTTCAATATAATTCCTTATAAATAATTTAAATTTTAGTACAAATTTAAAATCATATAATCTTTTTATGTTACAAAATTATAATTAATCTCTTATTAAACATATCAATGATAGGCAAACAACTAGGTACCACGGCATCCAACATTAATTCATTAATTCATTAATTCAATGCAGTCAAACATTCATACACAACCGATATACATATTACACATACAGTGCATTACAGATATCACGGTGTACGACGAACATATTGACTAAGACAGCCTCTCTCCTTCATAAACTTATTTCTCATCGACTAAATCAATGTTAATCTGAGCATACTTCAATATTGTTCACTAAGAACAGAGCTATTTTATATTGCTAACTATTAGATTGTTTTAGGCAAGAAGATGCTGAGTCTCATGCAAAATGGCGATGATCTAAATGATCTGATAATGAAACGAGGTTTCAAATACCTTTAAATGAAACCAAACAAGACCATTTAATCGTAAAGCCAAAATAGAAAAGAAAATTTTCATGCAATCCTAAACCCAAAACAAGAGCTGCAATGCAATCCAAAAATCAAAACTAGAACTTTATTTTCATTTTAAAGTTAGTAAAAGAACTGCCATGCCATCTTTAAGTGTAAACAAGAACTATCGTTGTGCTTATAGTATCATGGATCCATAATTTAAATTGTGTTCCATCTAAAAGTTTTACAAGCAAATGTAGTATCTTCACGTCGATGCAGTTCTAAAAGAAACTGTCATTAGGTACTAACATCAAAACAAACTTTCTTCTACTGATTCAATTATAAACTCTAAGATCAACTCTGAGCATTTACGTTAAATCGACTATCATCATAGTCAGTTTCATCATCACCATCATCATATGCATGAATATGGTGGGATACAAAAAGGCAACACACATCATTTGACTTAACCACTTCACTTAAAAAATTATTATCGCATATTGAACCTTTTGCTGAAGAAATAATAATATTAGCGTAACTAATTTAAAAGATAACAATTCAATCGGTATTTAAATTAGCGAGCGCAATGTTATTGAGTTTGCTCACAAGTAATAAAAAATAGTTGCTTATCAAAAACTAATAAAAAACTAGTGAAGAGCACATATACGGATAGTTTTTTTTTTTACACAACTAAACTATAATGATATGTAACTAACTTCACACGTTTAGTAAATAAAAAATTATAGATAGATATTTAAATGTAGTGAAGCATAAACTAATAAATTTCACCTACTTACACAAATTTATTTGTCACTTTATTTTTATCTTCTTCTTTCCATCATCGCCTTTCTATCATTTAAAGTTATCCTTTATATATATATTTATTATTGAAATTTATAAATACTTTATACCAGTAAATTTATATTTAAGGTATTAAATACGGAAAGAAACTCAATTTAATTCGTCGAAAAACTCGAGTTTTTAACTCGACTTTTCTGGTTCAACGATTTCAAAATGAGTATACATGCAATTTTTATTTTAATTAGCGCTGAATTCAACGGCAAGTCAACGTCCCTTTGTGCTTTCTCCAAAACAGCTGTGAAGGAACTTGACTTAAAACTTAAAACGGCCTTTGAACAGCCAACTCTATAAAAAACCATGGGAAACTCAATGAAAAAAAAAATAAAAAAAAAAAACAGCATACTTTACATGACGAACTTAAAATTTTCAGACCCTCTCTCATGTAGAGAGGCTACAACGAACAATATAATGTTTCATTATGTTTCAAAAGAGTCACGCAAGTTTTGGAATGCATGCATTACTATATTTTGAAACTGTACGCTTAGTGAATCTTACGATACCTAGAAGTATTTCAAGAAATTGAAATAGATATTCTGAGCATATCAATCACGTACGAACCTCAACAGGCTTTCAATTAATTCTTATACACAAATGTGTGAGATTTTATCTTTTGTATCTACGAATGCAGAATAAAAAAGTAAACTGGGGGATTTCATTTCAGTCAAAATACAATTCAATTCGAAGGACATGATGCATAATCATCATTGCAAGACATATAATTAAATAATCAATGTTACCTGGTGCTGCAATACTTGAATTATATCAACATTATTACCAGTCTCGGAAACGAACTTTCTTTTTATGCTTTTTTGCTGGTTTCGTAGCTCTGCTAGCAGGCAGCAAACTCTTCGACGCACCTCTTTCTCCATCATCATTTGAATGGAGAAATGATCGATTATATTTAAGATCAGAGTTGAGCTTCATACCTCGATCATTCTCGGAATATATAGAATAAACCTTGGGGTTTATTGTGAAGCATTGCTCATCATTGTCATCTGTATCATGAGAGAACGAAGTGGCTCCCGCCCCTTGTTCTGGGGACAATAATCTCATTTCTAGGTCGTCAAAACGGCACCCGCTCTTCTTCTTACGACTGAAGACCTCCCCCAAGAAATGGCTCCGTGACACTCCCCTCTCCTCCCCCATCATCAATATGGCCGTTGTGGGGCAGCAGTCGCACTGAGGAGATGTTGTTGTCCAATAAGTCGGACTGCGGACTGAGCTTCACCACCACCAATCCGGGCTGCGGACTGAACGTGTTCTGCGCCGCACTCGCCCGTGTCTCTTCCGTGCCGATCAACTGCGCACACAAAATACAAGGCACTTTATTGTAGGCTTTGATGATGTAACGGCAGACTGCGGTAAAATATTACGTTCTTCATTTCAAGGTTCGATTATGTGACGGCAAAATATTGTGCACTCTATTTCAGACTTGCACGTTGAAACTATATTATAAAATATTATCTTTTAGGGTTATTATTTGCACTTAATTATTGAGTTACTGGTGATAAATTCAAACATTGATAACTGAGCGCAATATATAACAAGTCATGAAGTAAAAATATATCCGTTATTCCTGACAAACAATTATCGACTCTTGTCCTTAATTAGCGACTGAAAATTTCATACTGGTTAATTCAAATCTGGAAATTCAAGAGAGCTCAATATTTCAAAGATTCCAGTAAATCTTTGAAAGATGAAAAGATGAAAAACTAAAACTAAAGTTCCTCGAAACGGGATCAGAAAATTAGAATTAAAATTACCCGATATAAAAATAAAACTCACGTAACTCGATTTGATAAAAGGAGTCGGAAAATTAATGCTGGAGTTACTCGATTTGACAAAAAAGAGTCGGAAAATTAAAACTAAATTAAGTCGATTTGATAAAAAGGAGTCGGAAATTAAAACTATATACGGGATCGAATAAAATAATAAACTGACGACTTTCTCGTAGTAGGAGTCTACGACGACGATGCAGTAGAGCGTTACGAAGCAGACAACGTAGGAGGAGATGTCTGCTGCGCCGCTGTAAACTCCGTCCAGCAGACCTACGACCAGAGCGAGGATGTTGTAGCCAACCGTGTAGAAGAACCAGATCGATAACAACTGCGACACGCCCTGCATCGAATAAGATAACGACGGAATTTTAGATAAAGGGCTTACGAACCAGGTTAGATAGCAACTATGACACGCCCTGCATAATATAAGATAGCAATATAATTTTAGATAAAGGGATTAGGAACCAGAATAGATAACAACTGCGATACGCCATGCATCGAATAAGATAACAATATAATTTTATATAAAGGGCTTAGGAACCAGGTTAGATAACAACTGCGATACGCCCTGTATCGAATAAGATAACGATGGAATTTTAGAAAAAGGGCTTAAGAACCGAAATAGATAACAACTATGACACGCCCTGCATCGAGAAAGATAAAAATGTAATTGTAGCCAAGTGGCTTGAGAAGGAAATGGATTACAACTGCGACAATCCCCCCAGCCTTCTAAAGATTATTCGAGAAGCAAAATAACTTTTTTTTCAATTGGTGCTTGAATGGACTACTAATGACAATATACGCCACATTTCTAGATTCATTTGAGCCAGAATACTGTACCTTCTGTTCCGAATAATTTCTGCGACATATTTATAATCTTCTCCCCGTATAAATTTGTACTAGAATTATCGTCTGTATTAGCATAATTATATTTGTAAAATTATTTTCATGAATTACCATCTCTCAGGATTTATTTATACCTCGGGGAAATATTATTAAGATAAGATATATTGTGAACATAACATATTGTTAACATAGCATAATGTTAACATAGCATATTGTGAACATAACATATTGTTAATATAACATATTGTTAACATAACACATTGTTAACATAACATATTTTTAAAACAGATATTGCTAACATAACATATTGTCAACATAACACATTGTGATCATAGCATATTTTTAAAACAGATATTGCTAACATAACATATTGTCAACATAACACATTGTGATCATAGCATATTGTCAACATAACACATTGTGATCATAGCATATTGTCAACATAACACATTGTGATCATAGCATATTGTCAACATAACACATTGTGATCATAGCATATTGTCAACATAACTGTGATCATAGCATATTGTCAACATAACGCATTGTGGTCATAGCATATTGTCAACATAACATATTGTACAACATAGTATATTGTTAAGATAATTTATAAGCAATTTTTCACCTTGCGCACGCCAATCATGAGGATGCCGCCCACGATGCCGTACAGGAAGGAGGCCACCACCATGCAGCACAGCATTGACGGCACTGACACACACAACCATTTATTATTATCATTAATATAATTATTATTGTTGTATTTCTAGTTTATTTATATTATATAATATTTCCGCCTGGGGGTATAATAATTTCCTTTCTGGAAACGAGCGGTTGGCAGTTTTTAAAGTTGATTGCAATTGTTAAGTAGCCGCCCACATTGTTTCCTATAATTTGAATGTAGAATTCGCAATGAATACTTATGAATACCAAATTCTTTAACGTCGTTTAAAAAGATAAAATTCAAGTGCACTCTTCAAATGCTTCTGATTCCTCTCTTTTGAATAGTTATCGAAATTATGATCAAATTTTTTAAGGATTAAGTTATTCCAAAATAACCAGTTCATAAATTTATTTTGAGGTTTTTAAAATTAAAAATATTCAGCCCTCTGCGTCAATTCGCTGAAATAACTCTATATGGTGATGGGTAAATATATACTGGTATTACAACATTTAAATTTGAAATTTCTAAGTGAAATAAGTACAAGCAATGGGTATAGTTAATACAGATTGAAATGAAAAATAGGATTAAAATTACGATAAGATGAAGTAATATATCTGCATCCAATATACATATAAAGTATATTATATATAATATATACGCATATAAAGGTGATTAATGAGTCAAAACCCACCTGGTGCAACGCATTTAGTCCCGCCAACCACAGTGAGGTTCGAGAAAGGTTTCAACGTCGCGTTAATGGAATCCAAATCCACTTCCTCGTGTCCAACATCCTTGATGTGTGACCTGTGGTGTGACTTGTTCGATACGATCAGGTGGACGAACCCAAAGGGACATATTTTCGATGAAAATGAATACGAAGCTCCGTCTGCGAGATCAGTTTCATTTTCAGCCGAGAAGATGGTATCGTTGGGGAAGGCTGAAGACTCATCGTCTCCACCTCCTCCCGTAGTGTAGGAGTTGGAGTTGTAAGCGAGGTAGAGGATCAGCGAGAATATCGTGGTCTGGCAAACGCTAACGGCCTGGAAGAATTACCCAAACATTCATGTGTTAATGACATTAATGGAGTTTATTATGAATTATTTTATTATTTGAATCAGCTATGAATGCAGAGCATTTACATTTTCTATGATACAAATGATATGGAAAATCACTGGCAGTGAATCCTCGTCCGAGTCATATGAATCATTGCAGTGGATAAGTCTACGGTAAATCAAGCGAACATTTAAGTTACTCCTGAAACAAAGTACTGCACAAAATCTACGGCATATTGTCGGCACAAAATTTATTATTAATTTTTCCGTTCACATATTAGGGCCCAAAAACCTATAGATATGAGACTGTATGAGATGATGAGAAGATTATAAGTAGTATATACAAATGAAAACAAGCAGCAGTGGTGTTATGAACTGGCACTTCGAAAAAGTGCTGACTGCTCGAACATTGCGTAAACACTTTATATTGAACATTATACACTGGACAAAATTATTTGAACTAACCTTGGAAAAACGATTAAGAGATTTTCACAAAAACGTGCGAAGAATCATACTGAGCTAACACTGATGAACGCGGTCAAAATATGTTTCCATTAGAAAAATAGCATCATATAAGTTGAGACCCGTTAAAAATAAATCTCAAGTACATGCTTAAAAATAGTATTAGCCAATTTGATTTTTAATTCGAATTTATTTGTTTCAGTTCAGCACGAAATAAACATATAAGGCCCGCGTAAAATTTCAACATTTTCCCTTTAGAAAAATTTTCCATTTCACTTACGATGGTGACGAACGCTGATATGATGCAGCCATTATAAAGGCTGATGCAGAGGCAACACTTCGAGACTTCACACATTTTTAATTATTTGTACACATGCAATACCATGTAAATTCGCTTACACCAGCGATGCTCTGCAACCTTTTCTACACTTGTAATACCACGTAAACTTTTCTACACTTGTAATGTCATGTAAATTTTTCTACACTTGCAATGCCATGTAAACTTTATTACACATCATGTGATAAAATTTTCATGTAAATTAATGTAAATTTGTTCACATTTGCAATATCATGTTAACTTTTACACCTGCAATATTTTGTACAATTTTAACACTTGAAATATCATGCAAACTATAATGACATGGAATAACGCTGTGCTCTCGATGCTCAATCTCGACGTATAAAACACAAGGTTGAGTGATTATTCAGGTATATCATATTTGAATGCATAAACAAATATGCTTTCAAGTCACTTCAGAACTGAAAAATGAAAAGTATTATTATTTATTTATTTAATAAGTTTACCGACATTAGTAAAACATATATATATCGATTTATTTGCCTAATAACTATTGTTATATCAATAGAGTGAAGCGTATTTTATTATATCGTTTAAAACTTCCTTGCTGTTATTTGATTGTCAAATGCAGGGAAATATTTGTTACTAGGAATGATTTAGAATTTAATATTCCCGAGAAGGTTTTCGAATGACAGAAAAATCTTAACTTAACGTGTTAATACATTTAAACTGATAAATATTGACACTCAATAACTCGCAGAGATAAAGCTGAGTTTAGTCAAGTGTTGTGGTAAGTTATAAATATGTAATCAGCCTATACAGATATAATTACTAGGAAGTTTACGAGGATTAAACCCAATATTATTAGATGAATTTGCCAGTTTAAAGCACGAAACCCATTTAGTCGTATCTCCTACCACTGGCAAGTTTACCGAAAAACGAAACCCATTATCAGTCATATTTGCCAGCAAATCTGGCAAAATAATTACCCTATTGATTCAAACGTAAGTACAAATTCATCTTAAAATTGTTTAAACCCTTCAACAATTATTATCGATTCTAATTACAAATTTTATAACAGCTGGACCGAGACGCAGTAGAACTGCAGCATCTGGGAGGAGGCTGCAGTACCTACTTGACACTTCATTCATCTCACACGCCCCTAAATCGAAAATTAAATTTATAACTAACATCACCATGAAGGAACATTTCGAGGTATTTTACCTACACTAAACTGTATAGATTTTTAAAAGAATGCACCATACAACTTTTAATACATTCAAACGAAGTGAAAATTTTCGACGCTGCATTCCTCAAGAGAAGAGACTACCACTTCCTGCCAACGCTCGAACGGCACTGATCCTGGAAAATGCCAAAACTCTTGCATTTGTTCCCATTGCCCTAATACCCATTGTTCCCATTCATCACAAAAATTACGAAAATTATCAAGATTTTAACATTTTCTAAGCACCTAGTAACTTTACTGAATTAAAAATTTATAAAATGTATTTGAAATTGAGTTTCGTTTCACTTCATTTCGAGGTTTCTTGAAACAATCTAGTCGATTCCAGACGTATGGGCACCACTCAAAAATCTACGCATACAATGAATAAGCTTTATAATCTATAATAATATATAATGGTTGTGTGTTTAGTTGTCTAGCCTTATTCTGAAGCGTTGTACGAAGAGTTGAATAAATTGGGAGAAGATGAACAGTGGCCCCCATTTTTTTTTTTACAAACAATCTCCGACTTTGATCTCCATGACAAGATCATTTTTCGGCCTAATTTATTCGTGTATTGAACGCTTTCAATTTGGCTATTTTTGCTTGATTTGGAAATCTTAACATTGAAAAAACTTAACTCATTGAGTATTTTCCGGGTAGTACAAAGATGGCAAAGGTACGCTCATATACGTATGCGAAGTAAGGTGTAGAGAGCAACAGAGCCTTAACAGCGCGTAACAGAGTGTAGGCCTTATAAAATTTTTAAATTAACTCCAAAGATTCTTTTATTTAAGATTTTTTGCAGTCGTTTTAATCCGCAAGCAATTTCCTAACTAGTTGTTGAATATTATTTTAGAATCTACCCACTTGGAGACTACGCCTCACAAATCTTCAACATTGTGCTAATAGGCAATGGTGCACACGTTATTTACCATGAATTGCTGGGACTTATATAATTACTTTTAGTAGCATAAAATTAAGCAATTAGGATGAAGTTAAAACATTCATTAAGATAGATCACTTATAGTGTAGGATATTGAATAAACTAAAGTAGAGGTCAAAGAAAATTCGGCCTCTGACTTTAACTGATTTCTCAGCACTTTGCTAGAATTGAGTGTTTGAATACAAGAGCTACAATGAATAGAATTACAATTTTGTTCAAGGACATAAATTCGTGTTGTGATTGTTTCTTCTTATATATAACATCTGTTGAATTCACACAAACGATGATAAGGCCATTACATTTGTGACGTAAGAACGTTCCTAAGTTCAGTTACGGGAGCTGTCAATTTGACTGCTCAATTAATTAACGAAATCAATACGAGATTCGTTTTCTGTGGCCCGGAATAAGAAAAGAAAATGTATTTACGGAGGGATACTAGTGTGCGGTATTTTTGTTTTGTCACTCTGACAGTCTGACTACTCGATTTTTCATGCATGTATAATTTTTGTTAATGCTTATTACTTTTAAAAATAATTAAATTCGCTCACATTTTTGGCGAGGAACTAGTAAATAAAAATGCATGATATAACCAATATATAATAGACAAGAAAAGAGATAAAATAAGAGAGAGCCTCGAAAGAGTCAACGAATGTCTCGGTGGGTGAAAGATTGATTATCAATTCATTAATTAGCCCACACATTACAAAATAGCTCAGAAGGAGATAAAAAAGTGATGAATTAGACCCACGCAACCCTGACTTTATTTGAAAAAAGAATAGAAATCAAAAACAATTTCTGGAATTTAAATTTTTTATTTTAGAGTCTGAAAGAAGTAAAATGGAATGCAGTACGCTATTATCATTCGCAAAATTTACCTTTAAATGATGTAATTAAATTGAAACGGCACTCCTTGCGATTAAGCACTAATACTTAATTAGTTTTTGATCCTTAAATGTATCTATACTAAGTATCAGGAAAACATCAATCATAATTAAACATTCATTGCTGTGATGACTTGGAAACGAATTTTGCGCTCGGGAAACTATAGGAAGCAGTTTTGTAATGAATTTATTTATAAATTAAGCCCGAAAATAATACCAAAAAGTCAATAAGATAACTAAGACCCTTCACCTTTCAGTATCGAAATAATATACCTCATCAATATTTCATTCCATGTCGGCACTACTATTAAATGTTGCTTTTACAACATTTTTATTGTAATATAAATATTAATTCATCTTCAACCCGTGATTAATCTAAACCAGAAGTTCAAAAGCAAAGAAAACTCCACAGCATATCTCTATTGAAAACGTTTTGGAGTCCCTGGCTCCATCGTCAGTTTTGATGAATCTAAAACACAAATAAAATCAGAAGTTAATAAAGTTTGGATTAATGAGAAAAAAATCAGAAATTAAAAACCTAAATTTACAGGCAAAAGGCAGAGTAATAAAGTAAATACCTATCTATCTATTCACAATTTCAAAGGGATAAGAACTAAAGGTTGCATTTAAACTAGGCCTCTTTTTAAAAATATTCAAGGATTCCAAAATACGCAGATCGGATGCAACAGAAGTAGAAGCTAAAACCTTCAAGTCAGTGTCGGACCGGACCATAAAACGTTGCACTGTTCGGCGTGAGTGCGCACAGCCAAATGAGGAGAGCGCGATAGTAACTGCCCAGGGGCCGTATTATCAAAACTTCGTAAGTACGCAAAATCGACTCACGAGTGGCGTAAGTGCTGACTTGATGACGTAACTCTAGAGGTGGTATTATCATTACGTTATAACTCTCATCATTCATTCCTTCTAGTCGGTACTTTATATCTCTGCCAACAATAATTTTTAGCTCCGTACACAGATTTCTTCTTAAACTCACGCTGTTTATTAAAAAGAGTTCACAACTATTTTAGAACGGCTTTTTCTGAGCCAACAAGGAACAATACCGACAAACAGCATTCGACAGTCGATACCATCGAAGGCATCGATTCCTGCCATCGAAGTTCACAGAATGTAAACAAATCCAAAGCCTCTGATTGGTCAGTTGGCCAGATGGTTCTGATAGTAGGCTTTTAGCTAAGTCTTACGTACGAATGTTTTGATAATGCCAAAATTAGGGTGTACTTACGTAACACGTAACTTTTTTGTCGGAAGTACAAAAAGTTACAAAGTTTTGATAATACGGCCCCAGTCCTATAACTCCTCCATCTATGCTCAGCGGCCCCAGAGTAAAGATTGCGTGACGTCATTCCAACGTTCGCAGATGCACATCGTGCACAACTAAATTAATAAACTAGGGACGATCGCATATGAGAAGGGAAGATATCTTTGTACCTAAAAGTGAACCTATTTTGAAAATATTCACAAGTAAAATACGAAGATTAATGTTCGGAAAGTATTTCATGAAAAAATATTTTGATTCTCTTGACATAACTTCGGACGCATAGCCGAAGTACGGAAGAGAACAGTAAATAACGTTTCTGTTATCACGCTCTGGCACGACTTCACTGTATCACTTAGACCTGAATTTCTTCATTTGGGTAACCACCAAGGCAGATGAAAATCGATAAACGATAAGATATTGCGCAAAAATTCAAATTCAGAATGCATAGCATAGAAAGTCGAACAAATACGGAAGCCTAGGTGTAATAGTGTTTGAAGCCCGTTAAAATTGAATCGAAAAGAACAAAACCTAAAAAACCTCCTGGGCCCATACTTTTAAAAAAAGTTAAGATATCGTAAGTTCATCAGCCAATCATTGACGGTCTTTCAGGCAAAATCCACCAATCATAGACAAGAAAATATAGAGCGTAAAAACTTACGTTCACTTAGCGAGTTTTGAAAGTATGGCCCGGTGCTCAGGCCAGTGAAAGTTTATTTTCGGAAAACAGATGTTTGAAAACGGCCATCAGATTTAGTAATATTGCCATCGAGAAAGGACAAACTATTGTTTGATTCAAGTTCCATGGGAAATTGAATAGAATTATGTTGCAAGTTAAGGTAATCTGAGAAAAGTTTAACATGAGAGGGATGCTTGATAATAAGAAAGGTGTCATCGACGTGTCTGTTGTGAATATTGGCTTAAAGTCTGGAGAACAATTGGCCAGCCATGAAACATCGTGAA